CAAACCCTCACGCCGAAGATTATGGTCACAGTGTGGTGGTCATCGGCTGGTGTGATCCACTATAACTTTTTGTCACCAGGCCAAACCATCACAGCAGAGTCCTACTGTGAAGAAATCGACGAAATGTACCGAAAATTGCGTCAGCTGCAGCCAGCACTTGTCAACAGAAAGGGTCCGATTCTTTTGCATGACAACGCCCGCCCACACGTTTCACAAATCACTATCCATAAATTGAACGAATTGGGGGTTGAAGTTCTACCTCACCCGCCATATTCTCCAGACCTTTCACCAACCGACTATCACCTTTTCAAACATTTTCAGAACTTCCTTGCTGGAAAATACTTCATCAATCAGGACCAGGCAAAAAAGCCTTCGTGGATTTCGTGAATTCTCGACCACCCAGTTTTTTTCTTTGATGGGATTTCTCGACTGGTGTCACATTGGCAAAAGTGTGCTGATTCGAACGGTGCTTATTTCGATTGAATCCGATGAGTATTAAGAAAGTTATGATCGTTTAAAGTGAAACACTCAAAACGCTGAGAACTTTCCGGACAACCTAATAGCATTCAAATGCTCTATGAGGCTCTGGGACAGCACACTATAAAGAAATGAGTGCAATCAGGTGCATTGTGTAACCCGAATACCTGTGGTGTAGTATAGTGTAATGCAGAACAACTAGATCTTATCGGTAACGGGGTTCAGTTTGTTGTACTTTGTCCACAACGATAACGGTAAACGGGAATGACAAGAAGTAGTTCAGTTTTCTTGTGTGTGTGACCTGTAGACCGACCTGCTTATCGTAACTTCTAGAAGTGTGGTTGAGAAAGCTCTAATATTTTACTGAATCGCCAGAAAAGTTTATTTTGCGAGATACATCGAATAAAACTCGTAGACTGCATTTCATCGAAAATTCCCTTGACATTTTGAAGGTGTGATAGTGAACTAGTGATGGTGATAGCACACTATTGATTTAGTGTTGTAATCAAAAGTGCAGACAATGGTGTCAACTTCACTAGTTACGTGTAATGTCTGAATTCCGTTGTTTTATCAAATTATGTTAATTATTAGCTGACCGGAAATGATGCTCCTGAAATTGGCTTCATTTTGTTCCTCGTTGGGCGTGCGTGTTCTCTTATCAGTCCGAAGCTGTGGGAGTTATTATTGAAGACACCGAAATGTTTACGTGTTCATGTCACATCAAACGTAAAATGTTTCCCATTGATCGCACCAGCAGGTATTTGATGGCAGTAACCGATTGTGGCTTTTGCCATCGATACTTCGAAGTGTGCGTGCTTAGTACTAAGTTGTAAAGGAAGTAGTGATACGTTTGAAACAAAACTTTTATTCATCACAACATTAAAACAAGTAATTTTTAGACCCATTAGTAACCTATGGTTTTATGCTAGTGTACAAGTAGACCATAGGTCTGTCGGTCTATCGCTTGTGAGTGATAAGAGTGAAATATCTGGTCTGCGATTCATGCAGTGAAATATCGTCAATGCTCGGGGTACCTATCTACCCAATTCTAAGATCCTGCCGACTTCAATCCATGAAGAACGATTGTGTAGGAGACAACAAGACTGCTTGATAGTTGATGAGTAGTTTGCTATGGGTACTGATAAACACGATTTCGTAGGAAGTCCAAATCCAATGTCTGTAGCGCATAGACCTGTCTTCATCCGCGATGGGAAGGTCACCCTTCTTGAACTTGTTGAACCAACGGTGGATGTTCGTTCGACTGGGAGCATTCTCCTTATAAACCTGCGGTGGGCGCAGATAGGATTTATTGGTGCATAAAGAGCGTGGCATTACGAAAGTGATGTCAGATGGATTGCGAAAGCATACCAGAAGGTATTTTCTATACCTTTGTTGGCGCTCAATGCAGTTTTGTAGCCCCTCTCCTCCTACATCAATAGACTGCTCAGTTGCCCCAATCAATAGATTAAAAAAAACCAAGACTGGAACCACTCAGTCGCAAATGTATCTTTACTTCCTTTCCAACGTAGTATAGATGTATGGGTTTAAATGTATGAAAATAGGAGCATTTTGACGCCTAACCGTGTTGAAAGTCTGTTGTAAGTAAGGAATGTCGGAAAAAGCATCCCTAAATAGCTTTAAACTCATTCGACAATGATGAAGCTTGGATCGATCCGTAGTTTCTCTTCAATGCATAGAATCTTTTTTAAAGTGTGATTCATAAAATTGCTTCCTCAACTCTATATGGGAGCATTCGGAGAGTGCGAAGGGGTTAGGTAACGCAGGGTAATAGTTTTGAAGCTCAAATCACAGGTTCTGGAGACAATCGTTTGACGTTCAGTGTTCTATGGCTCTTTCTTATTTTTTGCGAAGTCTAAAATATGACGTGAAAATCAGTACATCTTACCATTTCTATTTCAGGATCATGCTTCATTCAGCTGTTCGGGTATTACACCCGTTCCTTATGTTAATCTCACGGGTTCATTTCTTCGTTGTTCATCTCATATTCGAATTCATTCACCTATTCACATCACGAATTTACGTTACTAAACCAACGGATAGCTTGTTGATGATCAGTGCCACCCAAGCTGTACAGAAAATTATTAACCGTGAGGTGAGTGGTATACTTTCTACCAGTTTGTTTTGCGATTATTTTCTTACTTTTCAGATTTCCTCACAAGAACTTGTTGAAGCCTACATTCATAGGATAGAACAGGTACGTTGTACTAGCATGTTGGTTAAGCTAAATTTTCTGGTCCCACTCTATAAAGACGTCGTTCACCAGCGCTTCAAAGGCATACCGCGTCTTTGGAATCGTATTTACTAACAGTAACCTGGCTTTTTGGGCGGAGGTTGTGTAGTGGCAAGTGGCACGCTGACTACGCGCACGGTCCATGGGTCGAATCCGGGTTCGGCTCCCGGGGCAGCCGCGCTTTCTCCCTCTGTGGATGGAAAATTGGCACCTGATTCATTTGGGAGGATGGGGACACTGACTGGCTCCTGCGAGTCACTGTATTAAGCCAAAGTGCATTCAGTAAGCCAGTACTACTCTGAATCAGCAAGCATGCTTCATCCTTAAAAGGGACTGATCATCCATTGAGACTTTATCCTTCACCTTTATAACCTGACGCTTACTCGGGGCCATTGCCCAGTTCCTTTCTTTACTGAGTTTGCTGGAACGTTCTTTACCAGAAATTAAGAACTGAGGAGAACAGAGTGGTTGACCTACTGGGGACATTTGAATAAATAGACTAGCAAAAGCAGACTAGTGAAGCAAATATTATGACGTTTCAGCAGTCGGTTTCTTCCTGTTAGGGAGTGCAGAGCTTATAATCTCAGTAGGGGAAGGATGGTAGGTCGAAGTGGCCATTTGAAATGAAATGTATACCGGCTGGAAGGTCTTCGGACGGGAATTACGAAACCGTCTTCCATATCTGCTGCGGACCTCCTCCCAGAAAGAAGTTACGGAGCTTTGTAGTGGGAAATGCACTACGTATTGGCGGCGTAAGGCTGACACGATCGTGGCAGCATGGCCGAGTGGGTACGTCGTAGGGCTCACGGATGCGTGGTCGAGGGTTTGGATCCTTGATGCGTGTGCCCTTTTGCATTTTTTCGAAAGTGGTCCCTGTGCACTTCAAAGCTATTTTGCATAACACTTGTCCGTGATAATGTCGTGACGTAATGATTCTGAACTGATGGAGCCACTGCGAACCATTCCATAGAGATCACCTTCTGGGCACTATTGAACTATTCCTGCCCCAGAAACTCAAAAAAATTTTTTTTCGCTGAAACGTTGCCTATAGATGAAATTCAACGCGCTGATCACGAATATAACATCCGTTTCGACGCTGGCGTCATTTGGCGCCATTATGCGCCAATTTGGCGCCCACCTTTTTTTCACCAAAGTCGATGAAAACCTGCATATGGGGGTTAATTGAGATCCTGATTACGAATTCAGCATTTATTTTTGGCGCTGGCGCCATTTGGTGCCATTACGCGCCAATTCGGCGCTATATTGGCGCATGATGACGCCAGCGCTTGAAACCAGTGTGATATTCGTAATCAGGACCTCAACTTGACCCCCATATGCAAGTTTTCATCAACTTTGGTGAAAAAGTGGTGGGCGCCAAATTGGCGCATAATGGCGCCAAATGACGCCAGCGGTCGAAACGGATGTTATACTCGTGATCAGCGCATTGAATTACATCTATAGGCAACGTTTCAGCGAAAAAATTTTTTGAGTTATTTGGGGTAGGGTAGGGGTAGTTCAATAGTGCCCACTTTCTGGCTGTTGTCTTCTTCTTTCTTTGATTTGAAAAGCATACCACAATAGTGCATTCAAAGAAGATTTTTGCTTTTCAATGGTTTTATTCTCCAAACGACATGACTGGAAAACGAATCCGAACGCACGAAGTTGTGCACGAAGATGAGTATAGTGGGGAAAATGCTTCCATGTGAAGTGGCGTTGATGTGGCAGTCATGCTGGTGGAGATGGCGATGGGCAAGAGCTTCATTCACCACTCACATAATGTTGAATTATGTCTATCCCCAAAGTGTTTTCGTACTGCCGGAAGTTTTCGGCTCGTATGACAATCTTTTCAGCCGGAGGTGATCTCCATGAAATCGTTCGCAACTCCGCACTGGCTCCATCAGTCAGAATCATTACGGCACGACATTATCAGACTATATGTGTGATCTAATAGGTGCAAAATAGCTTTGAAGTGCACAGGGACCACTTTCGAAAAATGCAAAAGAGCACACGCATCAAGGATCCAAACCCTCGACCGACGCATCCGTGAGCCCTACGACGTATCACTCGCCATGCTGCCAGCGATGGTGGTACGCTTACGCCAGCCAATATGTAGTGTATTCGCACTACAAAGCTCCGTACTTCTTTCCGGGGAGGTCCGCCCAGATTTGGAAAACGTTTCGTATTCGGTCGGAGACGCTTTCAGCACGTATACATTTCATTGTCAATGGCCATTCGACCTACCATCTCCTTGCTTGTCAGTCAGAACGGTACTGAGGCCAGAAAATTTTCATTTCTCCTATCTCGCTGTTTCTTCGCTTTTTTTTTGTTTCCGGGATACAAAGTTGTTTCGGAAAAAATTCGTTCCTATCTTCCACTTTTCAAGAGCTCATGATTTCATTTTTCATTTTATGGCTCAGTCTATTTCATCCTTACTTCTCCCAAGCGCTTTCTTTCTTAGGTAAACCCTATCATAAATGCCGTGGTGGTGAAGAATTTCGATGAAGCTCGAGCGAAAGCAAGAGAAGTGGATGCTCTCCTCGTCGATGCGACCGATAATGAGCTGGATGAGGTGGGACCATCTCCTTTTTTTTCTTTTGAAGGGAAATTGTTTTCTCATCTTCCAGTAGTATTCATACAGTCGAGACATTTTTTATGCTCGTCTTTTAGCTAATCAACTCGAAACCTCTTCTTGGCGTGCCATTCACAATGAAGGACGCGATGATGGTGAATGGCCATGTTATTACTTGTGGTATATTTAATCATAGAGACGACCGCTGTCAACAGACAGCCGAAGTAGTGGAGAGGTGAGGTTGCATTCTTTATTCCATCCAACAGTCTCCTTTCATTGGTTGGTAGCACCAGGCCAACCATTCTGTTATGAAAAGGTGTTTCATCCAGTCATCTCTAACCACTGTAATTTTAAGAATGTGCGCTGCCGGGGGTATTTTGTTGGCCATCTCGAATGTTCCGGAAGTGTGCATGTGGGTGGAGACATCCAATACGATCTATGGACGTACTTCAAATCCATATGATGCTCGCCGAATGGCTGGTGGAAGCAGTGGAGGCGAGGGAGCCTTGCTTGGTGCCGCTGCCAGTGTGGTTCGTATGAATTATCTACATTCTTCTACCTTTACTGTCGGAATACAAGTATTCCGAATCTCTGCTTCGATTCTCTGGTTACCGAGGGCACCGTTCTTTCTTGAATAGGAAGGATGTGAACCAAAAGTGCGTGAGTTTCAGATTGGAATCGGAAGCGATATTGGAGGTTCCATTCGTATGCCTGCGTTTTTCAATGGAGTTTTCGGCATGAAAACGACACCAGGTATTCTTAATTGATACTCCCGAATTGTCTTTTGCTAAACTGCTCCATCCTTCATGAGACGTAATCTTTGCTTTTCTGGGCGGCTATTTGTTATCACTTCTGGTCTACAGTGAAAAAAGAATTGCAGTTTGAATCTAAATTAATTCTATATTGAAACAAGGTAGACCCTGCTCTGTAACTCTGCTCTGTAAAAACGGCGCTCTTTAACTTGTGGAAGGGTGATTAATTTTGCCTTTTAATCATAGCTTTTATTGATGAATAGAACAATCTTAGGCAGCGTTCATAGCTTGCACTATGAAGAAATGCGGGATCTGCAGAAATGCCGAATTGCGGAAAATCGATACGTATCTAATCCTTTTCGTCATTTCTGCAGATTCCGCATTTCTGCATTTCTTCATTTCTGCAAATTCCGCATTTCTGCATTTCTTCATTTCTGCATTTCTTCAAATCGATACGTATGTAATGCTTTTCGTCATTTCTGCAGATTCCGCATTTCTGCAGTTCCGCATTTCTGCATTTCTTCATGGTCGCAAGCTATGAAAGCGGCCTGAGGACGCAGTCCTGCGACAGGAGAGAGCGTTTTGTATTAGCTTGTCCGGAAAGTTCTGCACGTTTTGTGTTACTATTATTTTTTTTCTCTCCTACTATAGAAGATTTTTGGAGACAGTTTTGTCTATTAGAAAGAGATTTTTATTGTGCTTCTTTTGATATATTTTTGTCCATGTCTACTTTGCTTTTTTTGGGGAAAAAAGTTGGGAAGAGCGGGTGCCGCACCAGCTGAGCGACGCAAACAAGGCAACACGAGTGGCAATGGCCGGAATTCTTCTTCGTCGCTCCAAGAACAGCGGTTTTTTCGACTCTATTATTACATCAAATGAGAAAAGGGTCTGCTTCGATAACGCAACGAGAAAAGGACAGTGGTTAGACTCCAGTGACCCTCCAAAACGGACTCCGAAACCTGATATACGCGGCAAAAAGGTGATGCTCCGTGTTTGGTGGAATAGCAAAGGTTTGATGTACTTTGAAGTTCCGGAATCGGGTCGAAATTACTCTACGAAAAAAATTGAGAGAATTGGGCCTGTGGAAAGTCCTGCCTCATCGGCCACACACAGATCAGACCCTGGCACCATCGATTATCATCTGTTCCGGTCGATGCAGAACTCCCTGGCCGAGAGAAAATTCACAAACCGCGAAAAAGGTCCAACTCTATGTGTCCAACTTCTTTGAGTCGCAGCCGGTCGAGTTCTTCAGAAGAGGAATCCATTTTTTGCATAAATGTTGACAACAAGTCATTGATACTAATGGAGATTGTCTTTTGAATTTATCTTGTTTAATTTCGCCCCTCGTTTTTTATTATAAAGAAAATATTTTAAGCTCGAACCGCGCAGTTCCTTTCCGGACAGACCTAATATTTTTTTTGTACATTCATTGCTGATTAAAAACCAACTTCTCCTTGCCGCTCTCAGTACAGGGTCCCCTGAAGAGATTTTTTTGTGTTGCGATATCTGCATGGTATAATTGCCGTTCCACCATTGCTTGATGAACCCCTTTTTTTCAAGATTTTTCAAGCATGTGAAAAGAGCACGATTTTTTTTTCTTCGACTATAAATTGGGGCAATCCGCAATCGAAACAGCTCAACAAATTAACCAGGTGTGGGGGCCCAATAGTGCTAGAGAAAGCACTGTGCGGCAATGGCTCAACAAATTTCGTTCTGGGAGAAGAACGAAGGGAGGATTGCAGGCCTTTGAAAGATGAAACCTCCATAGCGGTCCGACTGAAGCAATATCTGACCAAGGATTTTAAGGGATGTTTGCGAGGCTGACCCATCCCAAAACAGTTCGAGAGATTACAGAAAAAAGCTAGGCGTTGCCAAATCCACTGCTGCGGATGGTCTGGAACGCATGAAAAACTCGACAAGTGGGTGCCCCACAATTTGAGTGACCGGCAGAAATTGGCACGTCTCGAGGTTTCTTCTTCACTGCTTTTGCGCAACAGAAACGACCCGTTTTTGAAACGAATTGTCACCTGTGATGAAAAATGGATCATGTATTATAGCATTAGACGTTCCGGACAGTGGTTGGATGCCGGCGGACCCCTGAGGCAATTTCCAAAGCCGAACCCCTCACGAAAAAAAGATTCTGGTCACAGCTTGGTGGTCATCGGCTGGTGTGATCCACTACAACTTTTTATCACCAGGCCAAAGTATCACAGCAGAACCTTACTGTCGCGGACCCCTGGCACCCCTACAAACGCGATCGACAGTCGGGTGGTAGCCGGGGCTTCGCCTCCGTCCCTATCGATCTTGACCACACCGCCTTCCTGCGGCAACCGCACAGGAAGGGTGGACCTAACCCGACGCCCCCCCGGGACCTATGGGTTATCCTACGGCGGGCACCTTACCGACCCTCTACCGTCCACGGCGTCTCCACCGTACCGTGCCGCACGAGACCGCCGTCCTTCAAGTCTGCCACGGCCTCCACGTACCGCGCCGCACGAGGCCGTGGTCCTACCCCCGCATACCAACCACCATGGTAACCGAGCCGACATGGGTGTGGAGGAAACTCCCCACACATAGTAAACACATAGCAAATAACAGTAAAACATCCAATGGTAAATACCATCTGTGATAACAAAAGAACGACTCAAATTAATCTACAATCATTTATTAACGCATTAAGCATCAACGTGCAGCTAACAATGGTATGTTCTTCCCCTGGCCGCCGTTCTCCGTGGGCTTCGTTCCATAGCTGAGCACGTAATAGCCCCCGTGGCCGTTGCCCCTCTGAGTACGCAATAGGCCGTAGGCTACATCCCCTCATACGTGTTAGGCCCCCCCATCCTGCCGGCGGTAAAACGCCTCAATCGCTCCAAATGCGGTAAACGTGGCGTGTCCTTGTCGGGGCTGGAGCAGAGGCTGCTCCCAGTCGGGGAGCAGGGGATGGACATCGGCCGGCTCATGGCCGGCGCTCGAGCTGCCCCCGGCTTCGGAGTGGGCTTCACCCCTCCGCCTTGGGCCCTGTCCTGGCGTTACCCGGTGAAAACCAACCGGCGCCGGCTGCCAGCCACTGGACGTACTATACTGGCTACGACCGCAGGGGGCGGAACCACGGCGCACGTGAAGCGCACGCCGTGGGAACCGAGCGCGGATGGGCCGGGGCGCGAGGTGCGCCCAACGGCGACCGTCGCATCCGCGACACCTACTGTGAAGGAATCGACGAAGGATACCGAAAATTTTGTCAGCTGCAGCCAACACTTATCAAAAGAAGGGTCCGGTTCTTTTGCATGACAACGCCCGCCCACACGTTTCACAAATCACTATCCATAAATTGAACGAATTGGGGGTTGAAGTTCTACCTCAACCGCCATATTCTTCAGACCTTTCGCCAATCGACTATCACCTTTTCAAACATTTTCAGAACTCCCTTGCTGGAAAATACTTCATCAACCAGGACCAGGCAAAAAAAGCCTTGTGTCGGATGTTACGTGGAAATTTTCGACCCACCCAAGGTTTTCACATTTTGATGGGATTTCTCCGACTATACGTCTGTCAGCATTGACAAAGACCTGGGGCTGATTCGATGTGGCTTATTTGATTATCCGATGAGCCTGTTAAAGTAAAGTTATGAGTTTGGAAGTGAAAACAACTCTGAGAACGTGCAGAACCTTCCAGACAACCTAATACATACACTGTTTCACTGGTTCCGGTTCACAAGACTCACCCTGGTGAAAACTGTGAACTCTTGGGAAGCTGGAGCAAGGAAAGCAAGTTAATTCATTGTTTTGCAGTAGTTGCCAGATACTCTTTACAAGAGTAAACAGTGGTCTCTACAAATTTGGCTTCTATCATTTTTTTAAGATTTCAAAGGTCTCCACTTCGGTCGATAAGCCAATGAGAAGTAGCGACCCCTCCCCCCCCCCCCTCCATCGCTAAACCTGTGCCCAATCGTAATTAAAACCATCTCACTTCCACATTTAGCATTTAAAATGATAAGGATGTTTTGTGATCTCTCTAAACAGTCTGTCGGTGGCTCTGTTGCTTTGCCTTCAGAGTCATCCTTGTAGTTACCGCTACCGATCAAATCACATTTACAACTGTGCTTAACAAGGAAGGTTTTGCTGATTGATTTTCTGCAATTGTGTTCTATGTTGTACTGATGACGTAATGAGTGTAGGGAACATGCATCTGTTAAGGAAATCAGGGCTTGTTTAATGACGATTAATCGATTAATCGATTTGGAACTGATGTACTGTGGCAGATTAAATTTATTTTGCTTCTTCAATCTTCTTTATGCACAGGAGTTATCCCCTTGGACGGTCATATACCAGCGGCGACGCAGTACAAAGCTCAAATGCTTCGAATAGGCCCTATTTGTCGATTCGCCGAGGATATTCCATTGTTGGTCAAGGTCAGTGTTTTTTTACATTTCCCTACATTATGTAAGTGTACGATCTACATATGTGGTGGTTTTCAAAATAATATGGTGCCGCAGTCCGAGTTCGCGGTGCACAATGCGGGATCGTTTCACGCCCAACTAATCATCCCGGAAAGGTCTGGAAAGCCTTCCGACCTCCCTGTAGAAGAATGCTGCATCAATCTAGAAGTACCACTCCATTTAGGCCAAGTCACGCCCAAGGTGTGTCTTGTTTGCTGCAGACGAAAGGGCGTGTCAGGCTGTAGGAGTGTGCCACGGCGCCAAACCTGTTCTCTGCCTGTTGTTGAAGCGGGTGAGGGGCAGCATTTGGGAGGAAATGAGATGATACGAACGATATGATACTGTCTTGCCACTTGCTCGCTTCAACAAACGCTGGTGGAGAAAGGATCTGGCACCGCACCAAACTTATCCCGCCTGACGTATACAATAATTATGCAACGTATATCCGGCGGGGGTACAGGGTGCATATAATGCATATAAAACAAAAATTAATACGACCCCCCACTTTTCCACAAGATAAAATCAACTATCAAAATAAACTTGCCATTTGACTATTCAGATAATGGGTGGTGATCGTGTCCCGTCACTGAATCTCGATGAGCCTGTTTCAATGCGAAAATTGCGTATATTTTATATGGAAGGTATCAATGATGTACCGTTGATACAACCACTGAGCAGGGACATGAGGACAACTCTGCGGAAAGTATGTTTACTGCCTCTTTTACCTCTGAAATCTTCAAAATATCAAACTGTCGTTCGTCATGGTTCCAAGTACTTCTAGATCCCTCTGATAAACAAGTAGTTTTCGACCTTGTTTTGTTACAGTTTTCACTTGTCTGGCAACTTCCAGGCTGTCGGCTATTTTGAGCGCAAATATGATCTTGTTGCCCATCGGATGGATCTGCCATTAGCTCGTTACGCCATCGAAATGTTTATGGTCAGCATGTACATCAAGGGTGGTCCCAAGTTATCTGAATATATGTTGTGCTCTAAGGTAAGTAATATGACTATGATTAGGGAGAGTTCTCGTTGTATGTACTTCCTATTATTCTGGAACTCAGGCTTCCAAAGGTCGAGTTAACCCCTTTGTGGAGTTGGTGAAATTTGTCCTGGGTAAATCCAATCACACATTACCGGGAATCATCGGAGCTATAATCGACAACAGCTGAATGGCATTGAGTGACGAGCAGAAGAAAGAGGTGTGGTCGACGTTTCCTGTTTTTTCGACTTTTGCCTTTTCTTGTTATTATTTTTATTGGCTTTGCAATTGGGATGTAGTATGGAGAATTGGTGTGCTTTTCCCTTACTCATTATTCCTCATTCAGATATCTTACAAACGTGATCGGTTAATCCGTGAATTGAAGGAGCTTCTAGGGACTGATGGCATATTCCTATTCCCCAGGTAATCCACCCATTTTGTTTTTTCGTTTGTTAGTTTGTCTCAAATGCTTTTTTTTTGCTTCTTTTTCGCCTTTTTTGTGTTTTTCTCTTTTTTTTTTTTTTTATTTTTTTTTTTGCTTTTTACTCACTGTTCTACGCTCCTCAGAGACAGTCCCCGCGTTTCAAACAAATCGTGAGCGTTTTCGCCTCATCATGGTCAGTCCCGCTGTCTCTAAGATTGTCCTTTTTCGCGGCCCCACACTAAGTGGCGAAGGCGCTGCGGTCGTCATAAATGGCAGTTCTGACGCCTCCCTAACTGTCCTGTCTACCAAATCTCAAAGGCGTTTTTCCGTCATGAGTTCAGTCCCGCTGTCTCTAAGATTGTCCTTTTCTTATATCCTTGTCCTTGTTCTTATATCTTTTCGTTCTATTTTCCTGTCAGATGGTATTAGCACTTTATGATGCGAAGAAATATAAAGTGAGCCAGGGAAGGCAGAATACCGCTTCGCTGGCATAAAACGAGCGAGCGTGAGCGAGGGAGCCCGCACGCTAAGACGGCCGGTCCTATACTGTGTGAGGGGCTCTCCCATGACATTTTTTTGGCTTTATCCTGTGTTTTTTGATGGTTTAGTGGGTAATCTCGATTAGTGTCGTGCTTGTATGGTGCGGGGTTTCAAAATGCCGTGCTAGAGCCATTTTTGAGCGCGACCTAACCTCTTTCATTTTCTCATTTTTTTTGTTGCTTCATTAGTTTTACCTATAGTTGCTGTGTTGTCATTTATGGTGTTGTGTATTCTTTTTATGGTTGTGGTTCTTACTTACATTTCTGCTCATATATCTAGTGTACATGCAATAAATAGAAATAGAAATCCTTCCGTGGGAGTAGAGCGTTAGCGCCTAGGTTCGTAGTTGATCGCCACTATTCACATTATACCATCGCAGGGTTTGTCTTCAATCTACAACCTGGTTCCTAGGGGTCTAGAAGGAGGCTCCGCCGATTTTTAACCGGACAACGTCGAGATATTTTATCGATCAAAGAGCTATAGAATGCTTCTTGTCTGGCAAGTGATTTTCGAGATATTTTCATCAAGAGCTATAAATGCTTTGTCTCAGTGATTTTGAAGCGAATTGATTTCAGCTGGCCATGTACGGCTCTGTATCACAACCAACCACTCTTGGCCCCAGTCAACTTTGGATACACGGCTTTGTTCAACGCTATCGCTTTCCCGGCTATTGAGTGTCCGATGGGTTTGGACAAGAATGGATTACCGCTAGGGGTACAGGTACTGATAGAATTTTTCAACGTAGTCTGTTTCATTTCTGAATCCTTGACGCAATGACTTCTTGGGACCTTCTTTTCGAGATGGCCTTTCATGTTTTCTGTTCGGGAAGCACTATGCACGAATACTAGTTTCTACTATTGAAAGGAGTCGCTAAAATTTTTGCTTTTCTTGCAGATCGTCGCAGCGCCAAATTCAGATCGACTCCTTATCGCAGCCGCTAAGGATCTCGAAGAAGGTTTTGGTGGATGGGTACCAGCTGGACCGCTCTGATATCATCAAGTAGAAGTGTATAGTCCAAGGTCCCCTCTTAACAATGTCTTTTAGTTGTTCTTAGTGATAAGAGCAGTAGAGTACATTTTGCATTTTGAATCAAACATACGTGTAGTTGACGCTGTATATGAAAGCTTGTAATTATTGCATACTCACTACTTCTTGGTTGAGAAGTATCTAAAAAAGAGACCGATGTGATGACGGTTTCTTATCTGCGGGCATATTCTAGTTCGAGTGATTCGATAAACTTTTTTATTCATGTAGAGACAGTCTATGGAATCCGGTTTCGTGCTGTTTCGTCACATTTTGTTCCTGTTGAGTGTGTATGGAAGTTTTCTACCCACTGACAACATTGTGAACTACGCCACATCATAACATTTTCAACGATATTCGAGATTTCCAACAAGTACGGCTACACTAGAAACCTCAACAAGAGCACTTTTGAGCTAAAACCTTGAATGTGAGGCCCACTCAAGGCTCTGATCACAAATATGAGTTTCGCATTTGTTGCCGGTGCCATATGGCGCCAATTTGGCGCTGACCCCCTTTGCTTACCAGAATCGAAAGAAATTTGTATACTAGATTTTTTTGGCGTCCTGTCGCGAATATATCACTCGCTTTCAGCAACGGCGCCATTCGATGACATAAACGGGGAGACGGGCAAGAGAATCGTAAATTGCCGCGTCGTCGCGCGCGGCAATGGGCGCGACGTTTCCTTAATTTGGACAATCCGACCGGAAGCATCGGATTCCTTGTAGACAAGGACATGGTAGACATTTGTGGGTATTTTTCTCATACATTGTCTATCCTCGACGGGAGACGGGCAAGAGGATCGTATTTTGCCGCTCCGCCGTGCGCGGCGATGGGCGCGGCGTTTTCTTAACTTGTCGATGGAGCACCGGACTTCATGTAGACCCCGTCATCGTAGACATTCATGACTATTTTCGGTTCTGAATTGCCTGTTGTCGCCATCTACTACCTGGAACCATCGTCATTTGCGGGCGCGACGTCGCACGCGACGCTCACCGCGGAGAACGACGATCCTCTTGTCACATATCCATTCTCGACTAATACCACCTTGAATCATCGTCATTGGCAGGTGCGACATTGTACGCGACGCCCACCATCGCGGCAAATTACGATTCTCTTGCCACATACCAACCATAAACGCTAGTTTTGCGCCACAACCTGATCTCGTGTATTCCGAGCGATGGACGAAACTCCACACCGACGAGTCAACACACTTTGCTGAAGTGGGCGGAGCTTTTGCAAAGTAGGAGGGGCTACATGGTGTAGCTCAAGAGAGTGGAAAAATGGACCACTATTCACCTAAATCCGCGTGAAGTGGGCATGGCTAGCCGGGCGGAGCTT